CTAGATTTGGCTATATTTAGCAAAGCTATAACCGTCATCATGCCTGAAGCCAGGAAGAAGACACCATTCACAAACCACCCCCTGAAAATCTGCAGTTGCCACTAAAAAACCAGACTTCCCAGCAGGCAAAGACATCTGAAGTGGGAGGGATCACATCAGTGTTTGCGTCAGAGAAGACCTCAGGTGCTTAAAACCAACCTCCCCGCCTGGCACTAAAGTTCTCCATCACCGTACCGCCCCTTCTTTTCTCTCCGACATACCTTCTGCTCAGGTCACACATCCTCATCATCCCCGCCCCATCCACTCCTTTCTGTAACACGGGTCATCCCACTCCCAACCTGCTTCTCCTTGACGCCGCTCGCCTCTCACTGAACCTGTAGGACCGCTCCCCTTCCCCCAGACACTATCCCCTCCCTAGCCCTGCAGTTAGCACAGGACCAGGGCACCCCGGGTGGCAGCTATTCAATACTTACTCGAAGGACCAAGACCGAGGGCGACGGAAGAAAGCCAGCGGCCATGGAACAGCCAAGGAACAAATGTGAAAGAATTTCCTATTATTCCATGTCCTTCTTTCCTTGATTCTGGAAGGGAAACCTAGACTAACCTAAATGATAACACCAGACTACTCGGTATCCCTGAGCTCATCAAACGGCTCCACCACCCCACCCTTGCGTATGCTACTCTTTCTGCTGGGAAGGCCTCGGGTAACTCTCATCTGGACCATCTCCTGTGGACCATCTCCTGGGCAATTTCCATTCCTGTTCAAACCACACTTCATCCAGAAATCCTTGCCCTCAGGCCCTCCCTCCTTACCACCTCATAACCATAACATCTTTTTATCATCTACTATATGCCAAGGGCCATGCTAAGTGCTGGACACTGATCTTGGGGTCATTTGTTGGTCAATGAGCTCCTTAAGAGCCAGGCCCACATCCTACTCATCTTAGTAGCTCTGGACTCAAACACAGTGCCTGCCACAAAGAAGGCCTAACAAATACTAAATGGATACACACATATGTCATAGCGATACCAACACAACGTAATCATACGCTACGTGTGTGTACACATACATACACATACGTGTATACTTGTTTGTTTTAGGTGTTTCAACCTCACTACCTTATGGTGTTGGTAGGAGAAATTGCCAGTTTACTGCTATAGAAAGTCACTCAGTAGTTCTCGTTAACTCTAAACCTGGATTACTCAGTGTAAGGAAACTGCTCTGAAGGGGCACGTGGTCCACCTTACAGAGAACTGATGCGGTTCTGCAATGTGGTCTTGCACACAGCAGGTGTTCAATATTAATTGTTTAAAGCTTAGATGTGAGGCCTCATATAGCTAAGGATGTTTAACAAAAGCACGGCTCTTCAGTCCTCCTCCGAGCATCGCTCCAATTTTTCCATTGAACTCATTCTAGAAGCTTAAACCAAATCTTCCCTTGACCTCATATGCCCATTACCTCAGACATGATGAAGAAGTCATCAGGGCATCTCCTCCTCTGCGCCCAGCCTAGATAGCCACGTCCCTTTGAATTCATGCAACGACAGAGCCTTCACTTCCCCCAGACAAGCCCGGGTGGACTAGCTAGTGAAGGCAGGCGAGCAGCGCCGATGCTGTGGACGCCTTCTCCTGTCCTACTCCAGCACCTCTTCCTTGGTGCTTTCACATTCCTCACTATACGGCACACACCGATACCCAGATTAGAGAAACAGGGGTGACAGGTTCCCAACTGTGATGCTGAGAGAGTCTGTGTTTAAAACCTACCCTCCCCAAACTGCCTGGCCACTGCCCTGGGTGCTCGATGCATAACTCTCACCATCGTTGGGCAATCCTGGCTGGGACTGGTGGTTAGGTCTGCACCTGGGGACTCGAAGAGAAGAGGGTGCAGGAAGAAACATGTTACCCAAAACATCTATCTGTTAGCCCTTCAAGGAGCCAGTGAGGCTTCTGCAGAAAAGTATCTGACTCTATTCACCTACAAGGGGGAAAAGGATTGCTGCAGATTGTTGTAGCCAAACTAACCCTCACAACCCCCCAACACCCCTGAACTATATATATATAGGATGTAACGCTGCTGGCAAATAATGGCTACCACTCACTCACTGAACACCTGAAAAGCGTTAAATAATTCACACGCGTTGCCTCACTTGATCTTCACAACCACTCCACAGGGTAGGGGTTCTTGATCTTTAGCTTGCATCACAACCTCTACAGAAATCTGTTAAAGCCCCACACTCCTGGCTTATTGGGTGAGGCCTAATTTGCATTTCTAACGAGCTTCCGTAATGTCGATGCTACTGATGCAGGACTCCACATGCTGAGAACCACTGCCATAGGGAAACAGATTCAATAGAGATTTGAAATGTCTTATCCAAGGTTTCACAGCTGGTAAAAAACAGATCCAGAATCCGAACCTAGATCTGCCCGACTCGACAGACAGTGCTGTAACCATGCTACCTTGTACGTGTGAATATTTGCCTTGTCTTCCCAAAGTCACTGGTAGCTCCTTAAAGGCAGACATCACGCTATACCCGTCTCAGAATTCAGTAGTACTTTTTCACTTAGTAGGTGCTACGTAAATACTTTGTATACCGGCTCCTACAGAGCTATATACTTCTTAGAGCCACATATTCAAACTTGCTTATAGTCAAAGAACATAGAGAGGGCTATATCACCAGACCCAGTTTTACACAAGACTCTCTCCTGCTGCTCTGAGTCTTGGTCCACGCGGTCTCCACACGTGGGGAGCCCCTACTCACTCTTTGGTCAGCCACTTCCTGCAGAAAGCGATTCCTGGCTCTCTAAAAACTGGGGGCCACGGCACCCTAAGCTGATCTCCAAGATTGCACAGATCACTCTATTCGAGCTGGTTGTTTTCCATCTTTCAACGTAGTTCGTAAACTACAGCATCTAGTTTGATGTCATACCCCCAGGGCCTAGCACTGTGCCTGGCACATCATAAACACTCCATAACTGCTTGCTGGGTGAATATGAATGCAGAGCTGCAAGCCCTAAGTTCCACTTAAAAATATCATAATGCATGATGTGCAATTCTCAGGGATGAATTCCAGGGAAGAGGAGGACAGCCTGGATGACAAAGACCAATTTTGTCTTTTCTCTTCCCCACCATTTAGACTTGGGGAACAGGCACCGCTTAGGGTAGCACCAACTACAATGAGACAATATCCTAGCTGAACAAAATGCTCCTGGGCTATAAAGTCAGCAGAGGCCATTCAAAGAGAAGGAAAGAGCTCCGTGCCCCCTCATTCCTCCTGATTTCTCTCTCTCACTCTTCTTCTCCATTTCTCCATCCCACTGCAGTTAAGGGCTTTGGCACAGGGATGAAAGACACAGATCAGACTCAAGGGTGCGGATCTGGCAGCGGGCACAGAAGCATCTCCCATCCTGCACCAAAGCCCACAGGGAAAGATCCAGAGGGACGGTGACTCAGGCCCCGGATTAAGTCCGGCTAGAGCAGTACTGAGAATGGGAAAGAGCAACAATTTCACAAGGACATGAATTGTCAGATCTTTTTTTTTTTTTAAGTGTTTTTAAAGTAAAAGCTTCTACCCTAACCCCAGAAAAATGGGACCAAGTTGAACCCAGTACTTGCACAAGCTGAGAGCCAAACACAGCTTCCTCCTCCTCCAACCCACCAGCCTGCAACACTCACCCGTGACAGGCATCTCCCAGGCCCAGGTTAGGACCTTTGCTTCGACCTTAGCTCGCAAAAAGGCTCCTTCTCCAGCTAATAAATTGTCCCCCCACAGACCACCATGTTGCAGTAGCAGAGGCCTCCCCCTTCCTCCATCCCCTCTCAGTGGACAACACAACCTAAATAAAGCAGGTTAGCCCCATCCAATTAGTTTGAATAGCCTCATGCCAAGGAAATTGCTACTTTTATTAAAAATAAAAGCACACAAGGCAGGCAACGGGCTGTGAAAAGTAGGAGTCTGGCGTAATTGTGAAGGTCGAGGTTAAGGTTACCAAAAGATACACGCAAAGATCTCCAGAAAGCCTGGGGGGGGGGGAGGCGTAAAATACATATATTTATACATCTCTAGATACACAGATGAGCACACCTGGAGGGAATTTACACAGCAGACCTAAATGACATCTTCTCCGACAGAGGGAAAACAAAAATCAGGTGCCACTCTCCAGTAATTCTTTTCGCTAAAAAAATAAAAATAAAAATAAAAAACTAAAACAGGAGGGAGAGGGGGCCTAGTTAGACTGGTTTTCAAAATAACCACATTCATCTCGTGTAATTTCTGTGATCTTGGCTACATCCTGGGGACCTGATTACAGTTGGGGTCAGGAAACAAAACTAGTCCAATCCACCGAGAGAGAGAGAGAGAGAGAGAGAGAGAGAGAGAGAGAGAGCGAGAGCCTTGGCTCTTAAGAAAAACACATTCCCGTTCTCTGAAAACCCTTGTCTTCCTCCAACGCTTGCCTGCCTGCCGGAGGGAGAGGGAAAGTTGGGCCGAACGAGAAACCCCTCTCTCTTCTTAAAGCTACTCCACCTGCACCCTTGGGCCCTCGCATCACAATTTCAAGTTTGAGGAGGACGGCAAGCCCAGCCCCCGACACCGGATGCCTTTGCACTTTCACACGTACCTTATTCTCACCCGATCCTCCTAATTCTGTGAAGCCGACAAACACTGGCTTGCCAGCTTTTTTTTTTTTTTTAATTAATAATAATGGTAATACAAGCCCCCCCCCTCCTCCTTCCTCCCTGCAGGTAAACAATTTCCAGCAACCTCCTTCCACCCCCTCCCCTCCCCGTGAACACTGTCACTTCCAAATCTCAGTTTTAAATTTCTCAAGGACAAGGGTTCACTGAGCAAGGAAAGGGAGGTGGAGGTGGAGGTGGAGGTGGGGGGGAAAGGGAGGAGGGTCAACCGGTCAAAGCCCATTCATACACCGGGCAACTGGAAAGCAGTCCTGCTGCATCAGCACGAGATCCTGATTCCCGGCGCACCGGAGGGGTCGGGCCATACCTTCCGCCAGCACCTCGTCCACCGTGACCTGCTGCCGCCCGATGCCGAAGACCCTCCCGATGTAGCCGCTGCCCAGGCCCGAGGTGCTGCCCCCGCCTCCGCTGGAGCCGGAGCCCAGGCCGGAGCCGCCCTGCTCTCGCCGGGAGTCGAAAAACTTCTTCATCTTGCGGATGGGAAGCAGTGGAGCAAAAATACCGACGGGTTTCTGGATCTTTTTCTTTTTCTTTTCTTTTTTTTTTTTTTTTTTAAAAAAAAAAAAAAAAAAAAGCAAACAGGCGAGATGCAAGGATTTCTTCTCGGATTTCAGCTCGGAGAGGAGCCACCCGAACCCGGCCGTGGGGGTGGGGGCCGAGGGAGGATGCCTGCAGGCATATGCGTGTCAATCGCGCCGCGGTGCCCTCCTCCTCCTCCTCCTCCTGCTCCTGCTCCTGCTGCTCCTGCTCCTGCTCGAGGGAGCGATCCGTGTAAGTTCAAGCCTGTGATGACAGAAGCAGAGGGCGCCCGGGGATGGGTCGGTGACACACTCACGGGCCCGGCCGCCGGGTCCCAGCGGGGCAGGAGCCGTCCCCGGGCCCCCGCCCCCCCCCCCGCAGCGCCGACCCCGGGGCACTGCCCCCCCCCCCGCCCCGCGCGGCAGCATCCCCGCGGCACCCACCTGCGACGGCTCGGCCGCTGGCGCCCCGCTACCGGCCCCGCAGCATCGCCCCGGCCGCCGGGCCCGCCCAGCGCTGCAGCGAGAGCCGGGGCCGCGGTCGCCGCCAGCTGATCCCCGAGCGCCCCGCCGAGCCCGGCCCGCCGCCCCTCCCCCGCGCGCGCGCCCGCCCGCCCCGCGCCGGCCGCCCAACCAGGAAGTGACCCGCCGCCGGAAGTGCCTGTCGGGGCGGCGCTGCCCCCGCCCCGCGGCCGCCGCTCTGTCGCGACGGGCGAGAAGGGAGAAGGGAGACCCCGCAGCGGGGGCGGCGCGGGGCGTCTCAGCGAGGGGACCGTTTCGGAGGCGAACTGTTACGGCCGGGCCGCGCGGCACCCTGGGACACGTAGTTCGGCGCCGGGCCGCGGCTGGACTACAACTCCCAGGATGCCCCTGGAGGGGGAGCGTGGGGGGGGGGTGCGGGGGCGAGCGAGGCGGCGCGGCGGCCTCGGAGGCCCGACGGTGTCAGCGGCTGCTGCGCGAGCGGGGATTCGGTTGCTTAAACACATGCGCTAGAGGAGCTGCCGGGGACGGGGAGGCCGCTGCGCGTTCCGCCCTTCTGGAGCCATCTCCTACGCGGCGGGACCTCCCCGCCCAAGGGATTCTGGGGCTTGTTGTTCCCGAGAGGATGGAGGCTGACACCTGGAGGACGCGGCGTGGCGGCTCAGCCCCCGGCGGCCCCGCGGGGCTCGGGACGGCGCCCGGCCCGGAAGTGGACGGCGGGGGCCAGGGCGAGAGCCGTGCGGGCGGCTGCGGCGAGGCCACGCGCGACCCGCCGAGCCCCCGGGCCCGCAGCCTCCGAGCTGTCGGGGACCCGCTCGCGGAGGAGAAGCGCAGCCAGCGGTGCTTGCTCCGGGACTCCGGGCGACTAAAGGGGTGTGTGCGGGGCAGGCAGGTCCTGGGGTGCACGCAGGTGCGGGGGTGCGGGCAGGTCCGGGGGTGCAGAGCAGGCCCGGGGGTGCAGGCAGGTCCGGGGATGCAGGGCAGGTCCTGGGACGCAGGGCAGGTCCTGGGTGCAGGGCAGGTCCTGGGGTGCAAGGCAGGCCCTGGGGTGCAGGCAGGTCCGGGGATGCGGGCAGGTCCTGGGTGCAGGGCAGCTCCTGGGGAGCCGGCAGGTCCTGCGGTACCGGCAGGTCCTGGGGTGCAGGGCAGGTCCTGGGGTGCCGGCAGATCTGGGGGAGCCGGCAGGTCCTGAGGTGCAGGGCAGGTCCTAGGGAGCCGGCAGATCTGGGGGAGCCAGCAGGTCCGGGGTGCAGGGCAGGTCCTGGGGAACCGGCAGGTCCTGGGGTACAGGCAAGTCCGGGGGGAGCAAGCAGATCTAGGGGTGCTGGCAGGTCCTGGGGAGCCCGCAGGTCCAGGGGTGCAGGGCAAGTACGGGGGTCCCGACAGGTCCAGGGGTACACGGTAGGTTCTGAGGAGCTGGCAGGTGCTGGGATACATGCAGGTGCTGGGGTTCTGGGAGGTCCAGGGTGTCGGCAGATCTGGTGATGCTGGTAGGCCCTGGGGAGCCAGCAGGTCCTGGGGTACCGGCAGGTCTAGGGGAGCCGGAGGTCTGGGGAGGTCGGCAGGTCCTAGGGTACCGGCAGGTCCTGGGGTACCAGCACATCCAGGGGTCCCAGTAGGTCCTGGGATACCAGCAGGTCTGGGGATGCCAGGTGGTCCTGGGGTGCTGGCAGGTCTGGGGGAGCAGGCAGGTCCTGGGGTACCAACAGGTCCGGGTTGTGTGCAGGTCTGGGGGAGCCAGCAGATCTGGGGGGCTGGCAGGTCCTGGGGAGCCGGCAGATCCCGGGGGTGCTGGCAGGTCCAAATCGTTGGCTCTGATCCCAAACTTCCGGGCTGGGCCGCCGCCGGTGGTGCTTGATTCTTCCACTTTTGCTGATGCTCTGGCTGGGCCCGACCTTCATAAATCCCCTCACCCAGGAGCCCAAGGCTGACCTGTTGTTTCTTTTTCACTTCAAGATCTCCTCCTTGATGCTTATTTTACCCTGACACCGCCTGAGTGACAAAGTCCACTGGGTGGACAACGTGATTTTCAACTACCAAATACAGAAAATTTGGAAAGCCGGTTAGTACCCTTCTCCATCCTTAGATTTCCTTTTTTTTTTTTTTTTTTAATTTATTTATTCATGAGAGACTCAGAGAGAGAGGCAGAGCCAGGCAGAGGGAGAAGCAGGCTCCCTACAGGGAGCAGGATGCAGAGACTGGATCCCAGGACCCCAAGATTAGGATCTGAGCCCAAGGCAGATGCTCAACCCCTGAGCCCCCAGGTGCCCCCATCCCTAGATTTCCGGATGGATGATCCTGAAGGTAGTTCCAAATCCCTGCTCCCCCCAACAATCCATGATTTTTCTGACTACCTGAATATAGGTTATTTCTCACCCCAACCCTGCTCTCCCTAATTCTGTGACAGCACTCTTGGCTTGCAATTCATCCCAGAACTTTTTCAACAGGCGTTTGAGGGGAGGAAAGAGAAGTACTCCAGGAAGAAGAAGAAAAAAATGGTTCTTGCTTTCTTGACTCTGAATACTGAATTGAGCCGTGACTGGTGCCTCTCCTTCCTCTTTTCCTCCTCCTCCTCCTCCTCCTCCTTTTCAAGTAGTGCCTTTGTAGTTAAGTTTCCCGTGCAGAGACAGCATTTTTTTCTTCCAGAGGGAGTCAATGTTGTCACCTCAGCTCACAAATTCATGCAGCCACCTCCAGGGTAGAATGCAGCACCTGCTAAAACATTCCCTCAAAGGAAGCCCACGGAGGCATGTTCTCTGCGCTTTCCTTAAAAGGCTAGATTTTGTCTTTAGGAAGTTTGGAATAGACCTTAAAATAGATGGGAAAGCTTATTTGGAATTAGGTTCATTGACTCCATCCTTCTCAATGTCTATTGATCTTGATTGGCTTTTTTGAAGAAGTTCTATTGGGTCCTAGAATCTGTTGCTATCTCCGTTCTTACTATCCTAGACATTCCTGTTACCAGACTAGGCCAGACTTCATGCAAATCCCAACTCTCCTTCCTGAGGAACAAAAGCTTGTTTTTATCTAATAGGATTAAGGTAGCTAATGAGCATTCACCTGTATGCTTTGAGGAGGTTTTTTTCAAAAGAAGCAAAAGAAAGAAAAAACAAAAAATGTGAGAAAAAGTCTCTGTCAGAGACAAATGACAATTGTAATGACAAAACTCCAGTTTTTAATTATTTACATATATAATAAGTTATTTGATCCTCCTAACAACCCTGTGAAATAAGGTACTATTACTGTACTCATTTTTTAGTTGGAGGAACTGAAGCATAGAGAAAAATGAGTTACCCAAAGTCACACGGATGGTGACCTGGCAAAGCCAGGGCTCAAACAGATTTTTTTTTTTTTTTTTTTTGGCTTAGAGCCCAGTGTTTAACTAACTACGCTGCACTGCCTCCTTAGAAAAAACAAATATAGACTGACTAAAATACTTGAAAATAGTTAGAAATGTATCTGCAAGCAGCAAGGGACCAGGGGACAGGAAGTCTCTGCCACTCTATAGCTCTCCCCTAGATCACTTAGATCTCTGGACCTATTTTCTCAGCCATAAAACCAGTGTTCTCTTACAACTCTTAATAATTTTCTTGTTCCTGAGTGCGAGATAATCACAGACCAGCCACTAGCATCCCAAAGCTCCTACCACAGTTACCGTCTGTGTAATTTGTCCCACCCTTCGTTGCGTTCCTATTCAACTTTTCGTGTATATTGTCACCTCAAGTACTCAGAGTCAGGGCGTAGTCTTCTACTTGTCTCCTTGAGCATTCAATACAGTAGTTTATGTCGTGTGTGTCCTTTCCAGTACTTGACCAAGCCGAATAACTGACTTCCAATTAAATGTGACATAGAAGAGAGCCATCTGATTGAGGTAGAAAAAGTGATTTGAAGTATTCTGGACTAGGTAAGCTTTTGAACTTAGTCTAGGCGATACTTTGGATAAATACCTAATCAAAGAGAAGGGTGCCTGGGTGGCTCCATCAGTTAAGCAGATGACTCTTGATTTTGGCTCAGGTCGTGACCTTAGAGTTGTGAGATCAGGCTCTACCCTGGGCATGGAGCTTGCTTAAGATTCTTTCTCTCCCTCTTCCTCTGTTCCCCCCTCCCCAGGGGGTGGGAGAGAAAAGGGGAAAAGAAAATGACTTTTACTATGTATTTTTCATATGTCAGTTACTGTATTAAGCACCTTTTAAAAAAAAAAAAGACTTCATTTATTTATTTGACAGAGCATGAGAGAGCACAAGGAGGAGAAGCAGCAGAGAGAGGGAGCGGGAGCAAGGAGCCCAATATGGGGCTCCATCCCAGGACCTTGGATCATGACACAGGCTGAAGGCAGACACCCAACCGACTATGCCACCCAGGCGCCCTGTATTAAGCACTTAACATATTATCTTTAGGGATCCCTGGGTGGCGCAGCGGTTTGGCGCCTGCCTTTGGCCCAGGGTGCGATCCTGGAGACCCGGGATCGAATCCCACATTGGGCTCCCGGTGCATGGAGCCTGCTTCTCCCTCTGCCTGTGTCTCTGCCTCTCTCTCTCTCTCTCTCTGTGACTATCATAAGTAAATAAAAATTTTAAAAAAACCCATATTATCTTTAACCCTCAGGTATGTATCTCTGCAAAGTAGATACTTTTATCTATTAAAGTAGATACTATTATACTATTATCCCCAATTTTATAGATGAACGGTGAAGAGTTTGTTAGTAGCAGAGGGATGTGCAAGGTTTGTTAGGTTAGGAGAAAATGACTTGCTCTGTGGTGTTGGCTAACTCCTGTCACAGTAAACCCAGTTATGGCAAGATGTGGTGCATCCTAAGAGGAAATGAAAAGGAAGGGGACCAACATAAACTTAACTACCTTAACCAAGGCCCGCACCGTGTTGGATATTTAATCGTATCACTCAGCCTCCACAATACACCTACGAGGGGCGCGTTACTTTTAATTTTGTCAATGCGGAAACAGGCCAAGTGTTCACATATGTCAGGTGTTGCTCACAGAGCCTGCAAAGGACAGAGGCAGAATCAAAACCCTTGTCATCTCCCTTGCACCATGTAGCCATTCTAGATTGCCAGCTGTTAGTCCAATGGAATATATTAGAAATCCAGATTATCAGGCCCCCTTCAGACCATTAACTTTGATTACCAAATAAGGAACCAATCAAATGCATTGCTTAAGGGGAGGAACCATATACTTTTTTTCTCCACTTTTGGTTAACATTTTATTTTTTTATTTTTTTATTTTTTTTTAAATTTTTATGATAGGCACACAGAAAGACAGAGAGGCAGAGACACAGGCAGAGGGAGAAGCAGGCTCCATGCACCGGGAGCCTGATGTGGGATTCGATCCCGGGTCTCCAGGATCGTGCCCTGGGCCAAAGGCAGGTGCCAAACCGCTGCGCCACCCAGGGATCCCTTGGTTAACATTTTAAAAAAACGTTTTTAATTTAAATATTTTTGCCCGCTCTCCTGAAGTATAATTGACATGTTTATCATTGTTATATTTTTCTCCAACACTAAAAATGTACACAGGGATACAGTTTGCAGAAATTTATTTTCAGCAACTCCTTAGTGCTTAAAGAGCGAGCAGAGAGTTAAAAGTGAATAAAATATAATCCTCACTTTCAAGGAATTTAAAGTATCCTGTAAAATTAACTGTTTTAAATGACAGAGAACTAAAAATGTTAAGAAAGGCACATAGTAAAAACAGCCAGAACGTATTTAGGTAGGGGCGAAGGCAGCAATCTGCTTTCACCAACCATCCAGGTGATTCTGATTCATATTCATGTTTGAAAACCACTATTTAGCAGAAGGGAAATTATAACAACCATTTTCCTTCTTTAACAAGAGCACTTAATGTTTTTGTTTTCTGGTTAGAAAAATAATTACATAATCATTCAAAGTAGCATGAAGAGTAAAAACCAACTCAGAATAAAAATCACTCAGAGATAACTGCTATTGAATGTTTTTTGTTTTTGTTTTTGTTTTTTTTGCATTGACCGTTTGTTTTTCCAAGAAGTTCAAAATTTCAAGGACCTCTCAGCATATCCAGTCCAATAGCCTACTGGAGGTCTAAATCTCCCTTTCTGTTTTTAGCTGCCCTATAAATCTCAGCTTCTCCTTCTGTTCTGCTGCTTAACTGTTACTGCAGAACTTTGAATGTACCTTCATCATAGCCCAAATCAATTCATAGCATCGTCATTGGTTTACCTGTTTATCCCTTCAGGATTACATCACGCCCATCCTTCTGTCCTTAGCAATCAACTCACACACACATACATAGTGAGTGCTCAAGAAATATTTCAAACAAATGAATTAGTAATTTAATGAAAACAATTTAGTGAAAAAAATACTGAGACATATTTCATGCTTATCAGGGTCCTAATTAGATTGAGTTCTAATAGTCTAATTAACCACAGAAATGTTCTTTTAGAAGAATTCCTTCATCACAAAAGATTTTAGACCTAAAAAAACAAAAAACAAACAAAAAAAAAGGTTTCTAGACCTGAAACCCCATGTTTGACGATCAGCAAATCCCAAAATATTTATAAAGAAAATATACAGGATATTCAGTCTTCTGTAACAATATGAAAGGCACCTGAGATGTTGTAGGTCACTCATATCCACCTTCTCCTGCAGTTTATTTTGATGTCATTGGTTTAATATCAGTTTACCATGAATTTTCATTCTCTTCCAGCAACTACCCCATTTTTTCCACCTCTTTCCAGCAAAGCACGTGAGCGCAATTGTCTATCCTTGCCTTTTCTACCAGTTCTCCATACTACTATGTCCTATAAACAGCTCTCCATCTTTTTTTTTTAAGTCAATTAATTTAAACAAAAAAAAAAAACAGTTCACCCATTTTTCCCCACCCATCACACCCTGCTTCTGGCATCTATCAGTCTATTCTCTGTACAGACTAATATATATATGTTTTTAGATTCCACATGTAAAAGAGATCATATAGTGTTTGGCTTTGTTTAATTCCACTTAGCGTGATGCCTTTTGGGTCCATCCATTGTTGTTACAAATGGCAAGATCTTGTTCTTTTCTGTGGCTGAGTAATC